TCATCTCATCTCATCTCATCTCATCTCATCTCATCTCATCTCATCTCATGATGAGTGGTGTATGATGAGTGGAGTGGTGTATGATGAGTGGTGTATGATAAGTCCTGTATGATGAGTGGTGTATGATGAGTGGTGTATGATGAGTGGTGTATGATAAGTGGTGTATGATGAACTGGCAAAGCGCACCGGTGCTGGTGTCAGCTGATTGTGCGCGCTGTGGAGGTGCCGTAAGCTGGCTGTGCAAGCTGCGCCAGACAGTCGCATGTCAACAGGTCGTGGGACTTTGCCTAGCTATCTGGGTCTATGCTGGTGTAATTGTTTATCCAGAAGAAAACAACATATAAATAAAAAGGATCTACCGAAGTAAATGCATGAGTTCACCCCTTGGTGGACTTATCCCACCAATTCACCCACACGGAGACCTGGTTGAACATCCCCACACGTGGCTTGAGGGCCGAAGTGCGGCTTCCTGTGAAGCGTACGCCTTTCACGATCCACGGCGGCAGAGCTGATTTGTCGAGATGGGGGACATTTCTGGAGAAATCGTGAAACATATCTACAGACATGTTGCAGGCTTAACTAAAAATTTGTTAGTCCAGGCGACTGATCACGCAGTATTTGTTGCGTTTTGAATGAATGACTGACTGAAGCAGTTCCACGAAATGATGATGGAGTGATGTCTTGCGTGGCATCGTTTTAGACCTCTGAGTGTGTTTTTTCTACAAGTCTTCACACCAGGATGTATTCGGTGTCTGGCTTTCAGAATGACACAGGCTGTTTAGAGGTACTTCAGATCACTGACCGCGGGATCTGCGCGGGACGGTTTTGGACCGCGGGATTTGCTCGGTGTTGTGAAAGAATTTGGTACTCAATCCAGGGGGCGGAAAGCCAAATCGGCTCAAACCCTATGGGTCTCCCTTCAACATGCTTTCTTCTCCCCCCAAAGGGGCGGCTTCTAACGGTGATCCCAGGGTCCCAGTGACTCTGTGGGTTTTCAGCGTGCAAGAGAAATGGAAGAAGATGAAATCAGAAGTATTGATGAATCAATGGCTCCGGTCCGGTTTACGATGCGTCCAAAAGTTGCGAGGAACGTATTCTTCCTTCGTGGTCTTTCTTCGTGGAAGGGCTGTTTTCGTCCTCAACAAACGGTCGGGGTACGAAAACGGGTCCAAGACGTATGTTTCAGGTTAGCGGAGGTTCTGGTCTGAAAAAGAGGTCCAAATCAAAATCGATCGCTGCCAAATCCATCGCCAAACACGAGTACTTTATCTTCAGACCCAAACCGTTTTGGTTGCGGAGTCCAATGAACGAGTCCCTTCGGGGATGGAACGGACAAAAAAAGGCGACAGAGTCGACTCGACCCACTCGTTCACGTTCGGCTCAAACGGCCCAGAACTTCGGCTCATCTCGTGGGGTCGAATCATTGAGAATTTGGTGTGACCAAATCGTTTGGGTCATGGAAAACGGTCGGGTCATGGAAAGCCGATTTGGGTCATGGAAAGTGGTCGGTGGACCGGGGGCCGGAGAAGTCCTCCCCTGACGTCGGGCCATTTGGGGCCCTTCGCTCATGGCCCAACTAGCGACGAGTCGAGGAATTCCCTGGCGACGCGGAGCGAAGTGCGGAACTTCGCAGAGTCCTTGACCGCAGCGATCTTCAGGACGGGATCTCTTTGGTATCAGCGCTTGTGTGCACGCGAGAAATTGTGCTACACTCCATCACCTCATAGAGTGGTGTTGTTAATGTGTTTTTAATATGTTTTTGTTCATTTCTTTCATGAACTGAACGCAAGAGTTTGACCTGACCTCCGCTCACACGTGCTCTAAGATGAAGATAAGTTTAAGAAGCTGCTAGTGAAACTCTCAACTCACATATCGATATACGATATATGTTTAGATGACATTTATGAGCTGATGACAATATCTAAGTATTTAGTCTACGTAAGTATTTAGGTTCCTTCTTACAAAAGGAACAGCGGGTGTGACCCAAAAAGGGGGACCTCCCAATGAAACTGTGATCCAACATCTTGACAGTTGTTTGGCAAACGATTAAGATGAGACCCACTTGTGTCTCGTACCAACTTCAACGAACAAGTTGCGTACTGTCTCAACGAACAAGTCGTGTCCTCCTCTCGTGGAGATTCTCTCGTGGTGTCGCCCTACGCATCAAACAAGTCCAAGGCATCGGCATCGTCTCCCATTTTAAGCAGGCAAGATGCCCTACTCATTTGTAGCTTTGCTACATGGAGTTCCAAAGCAGCCTGAATCTTCTTGTGCTCGTCAAGAAGTGTTCGAACGACACAAATAGTACCAAGACAACACGAAACCCACATGCCCAAGTCTTGAACGGTTTATCTCACATCTGAGTGCAGAGAGGGTGACGACATCTCTGACTTATGCGCAGCGCGGTAAAGCTGACTGTTGTGGTGTTCAATATAGATGTGGGTGAATGCAAAACATTCAAAAGCGTGGCAGATGAACATTTGGTCATTTGGTGGTTTCAGAGTGCATACAATCCAAGGAATTCCTCCCCTCCCCGCTCGCTCGTTCAGTGTTTTTCCTACACAAATGCCACAGCATGTGTTCACCCACGGCACATGGAACGAAACACCAGCGGCTGTGACGTTGGAACATCTTCCCGGACCGTCTCTGACTCAGGGCCTCGAAGTTGGCCAAGAGTCGCGAAGGCGCGGCAGGGCGCTGCAGGTCATGGCAGGGCGTGCGAAGGGGTTCGCAGGGCGCAGGCGATGTCGATGTTGAGGGGTCCCAAGTGATTCATGTGGGGAGTTGGGTGCTCTGATCTGATCGATTGGACACTGGAGACGAGAGATGGAAAAGCAAGAAAGGCTTATGGTGCCAAAATGGGAGGTTGCATGCTGTCGCAAGGATTCTTAAGCCAGGAACTCGAGTCACTAGTCACTTCCTGAACCTCAGGGTATCAGGGTGAGGTCATGAGCGAAGCAGATGTTCCCACTGCAGAGAGGATGCAGACCATTTGTATTCCCAGTGCAGATGCTGCTCCCGTGTTCCAATGCTGCTCCGTTTGGAACGTTGGTCAACCTTCGCTTCCGTGAGTCGTTTGGGTCGCCAAACGATGAGCAGGGATGGCATCCAAGGTTCGAAAGGGAAGAAAAACAGTCCCTCACATCATCCTTATACAATTCCACCACGCATACCTTTTACTACGAAGGAAGAGGCCTATAGGTTCGAAAGGTGTTTAAAACTCCTTCACAGTGAGAATGCCCTGTACCCTTTTCAAACAGGTGTATCAGGGCTCTAGACTCTAGCCACGCGTGGGCCTTCCAGTCATCCAGGAAGCCTTGTGCTTGAGCAGAACCTCGCACCGCTCGGCACTCTCTCGTGCGGCCAGGTGCAAAGACTGGATTGCAGTGATCGAGATGATGAGATCCACCAGTGGTGCAAACATTCCGCCAAAGATTCCTCGTTGCAGGGGTTTCACCCGGTGGGAAAAATATGGAAATTTATAATATATATATATAGTATACATATAGTGTATATATATAGTATATATTATATATATTTATAATCCAACAGAATATAAACAAAAATATACTATATATATATATATATATTTAATTCAACGATCTCAATCCCATGGCTCGACCTGTCGGTCCGCAGCCTGGAGAGCATGGAGTTGTTCAGCTGGTCACCAAGCTCAGTGGCAATGGCATCACCCGGCTGATCATGATGAGACACAGAGCCACGGGCCTTCAACGCAGCCCCCTAGCCGCTGCCATCGCCCAGATGATTCGTGTTTTTGGCTCACCTTCGAATGCAGAACCCGGGCAACCTATGGGAGATGCATCAAAAAAGAACATAAAAATGCATCAACAAAAAAATAGAAAGGAAGGAAGGAAGGAAGGAGGGAAGGAGGGAAGGAGGGAAGGAGGGAAGGAGGGAAGGAGGGAAGGCAGGGAGGGAGGGAGGGAGGGAGGGAGGGAGGAAGGGAGGAAGGGAGGAAGGGAGGAAGGGAGGAAGGACGGAGGGAGGGAAGGAAGGAAGCAAGGAAGGAAGGAAGAATGAAGGAAGATATATATATATATATACATGCATTGTTCCTAATCGATGAATGAGAAAATTACGATAGAATTTGACATTGGGAATTTCTATTATGAAATTGAAATACGATTTTGTAAAATATTGTTTATATATATAATATAAACACGATTATAATTATTAAAGGAATAATTATTTGAAAAAAATAATATGATAATTATGATAATGATTTGATTATATTATATTATAACAAATATGTTTTATATATGAATTGATTATACTAAATGATATTGTAGGGGAGACACTGTATATTATTTTAGTATTTTATAAATTTTTTCGAATGATGATACAAATGTTGATATATTTATATATATGTATATATTATGTATTGATTAAGATGTATTTTATATTTTAAATTTAAATGTATATTAAATATATTTGTTTTATTGTAGTTTATTAATATTTTGGAATTTTATTTTGGTTTATAGATATATTTTATGAAATATTATATTTATTTGATATATTTGTAAGCGCCATTGTTAACTTAGACCCGTGTAACTATTTCCCCAAGGTTTTTGCGTCTATGAGGAATCGTAATCGCGATCTGGAAAAGATAATTTTGCTTTTGAAGATCTTGGTTGCACTTCTATTAATCCAACAATTCTTGGCAATTCCGGTCCCAAGTCCGAAGGACATGAATCTAGAGGCAGAACCGTTCACACCTGCCACTCTTATGTCCGGCGTGAGGGTTGTTATAGGCACTTCGTCCTGTGACCAGAGTGCCAAAGCCATTTCCACGACACCTAGGACTGGCACGAAAATCAACGAGGTATGGGCGCTAGTTGGCTGCAGCATATCCAAGACCCATTTCGATGCTGGCGCAACAAGCGCAGTTTCAAGAGAGCCTGCAGAAGAACACTCATACATGGTTGCATACAATATCGAGGCAAAGAGCTTTGGCCTTCAATGGTTCCATTCAGAATGAAGCAAATGATTATGGCTGACCTGCGCCACAGACCTGACCAGCGCTCCAAGCCACAACCTGTCCACTCATCACCCTCAGAAGCTATCCGCGTGCTCTGCTGGAATGCATCCCAAGGATTGCAACTGGAGGAATGGGTGACCTGGTGCTCTTCCCAACCGTTTGAGCTGATTCTGGTACAAGAGACCGGATGGACACTCAACAGACGCTGGACTGCACACGGCTGGTACATGATACACAGCTATGCTTCCAGGGCTTCGACCCTATGCATGGTTAGAAGTTTTCTTCTACGATCGGATCAACTGACTGTGGCTGACCTTATACCAGGCCGCCTCCAGCACATTAGATTGCACTTGACCCGGATTCACGATGTGCTTAACTTCTACCAATTTGCTTGGAACACCACCAAACCAAGAGCAACCTTGATTCAGGACAGAGCCAAAGTTTGCAAGACTCGAGATGCCATCCAACATGTACCAAAGAGCCACATGCTACTGCCCGCCAGTGATTGCAACACACCTGTGACTGCCGCCCCACCAGCCATTGGTTCTCATGATGCCAAATTTGGCCAGGCGGCTCAGACCGATAGGCATGAGTTTCAAGCCCTAGTTCAGGAGCTTAATCTCTGTACGTCCCACTCTATGGGTAAATGGACTCCCACTTTTGTACACGGAACGCATTCAACACGTATCGATTTCACGTTTCTGAGATCCCATCAAACGCAATGGAACAAACATGATGCCTAGGTCCTCACCAGTTTCGAACGCAATTTTGGCAATGATGGACCACATCATTATCCATTTGTCCTTTCCTTGCCTAGATGGTTTGCTCCACCACGAAGCCTTCCACCAAAGGTAATCATTGACCGTCACCGCTTAAGACTCGACTTTCAGCACCGGAATGAGAACTGGCAAAACTTCGAAAGACGGATGCACGCCATTTATGATCGGGTGACCACACATCCCGCATCAACAGCGCTGGAGATTTATAGGCACGTTGAACAGGAGATTCGTGACCTCTGCATATCCCACTTCCCGAAACATTCCGTTGCTCGTCCACTCTGTCCTTAGGTACGATCCATGAGTGCACAAATGTGGTATGCTCGTCGCCAACTCATGAACCCTCAGCAGTGCACACTTCGAGCGGTCTTCGTCAGCTGGAAACATGTGATAACGTTTGATAGGTTGCATCAATTCATTCGTAAATAGAACCACACCCATCGTAAAAGCCGACTAGAGACCTTTCTCCAGGAGAGTGTGCCGCTTGTCCTGAGCAATCGAATGCATGAATGGTACAAAAGAATTCGTACCTTGTGCCCTAAACAACATTTCCGTCGCATTCAGATGTTCGATGCCCATGGAGCCCCAATGTCACAGGAACAAGAACTCGATAGACTGATCAGCTATTTCCAGACTTTGTTCACCGATGTTCATGACCCACTGCCTCATCCACCGGCCATATATGACCTTCCATTCACTGAGGCCGGCGTACTACGGGAACTTGAACATCTGCCACCAAGGCATTGGCTCCTGACGGATTCCCAGCACTGGTTTGGCGTCATTTCGCCTCCCAATTGTCTTCGATTGTGTTCGATTGCACTCGTCAAGCATGAGTGCCCCTCAATGCATTCCACCCACACACTGGTCGATTGGATGGTTATCCCTTCTTCCCAAACCGAATAAGATTCCAAACAAGCCAGAAGCTCTACGACCGATATGTTTGCAACACCCAGTGAACAAAACCATGTCAGGCATTCATTGCCGCCTGCTTCAACAACACACATTCCCCTTTTATGCGGAGAATGCCACTGTTTGCATACATGGCACACCGGGGAACTAAGGACTGCCTGTTGATCATCTCTCACCATTGCCGTACGGTGAGAGCACTGTGCAAGGATCATAGCAAGGATCCATCGAAGCAGGGATTGTGGGGGGGCATCCAAGTCTCACTTGGCATGGAGAAAGCTTTCGACACCATCAGTAGGTCCATGATCTCTCGTGCCCTACACGCTTGTGACATCTCACCGGACCTTCAAAATCTTGTGCATTCGTGGCTGGCCCCTCACCAGTATTGCATTCCGCATAAGGAGTTGGTTGGCAGATTCCAGGGCAGTGGAGGAATTAAGCAGGGCTCCAAAGACGCCCCTATGTTTTGGACGCTTTGTATGTACTTAATTCTCCAAGATCTCTTGGCCCAATTTGATCATGCCTGGATTGTCAACCACATGATAATACATGCGGATGACATCCACCTTAGATGGATCATTCAATCACCGAGTGATGGCCTTGCAGCAATGCATGAAATGTCCTTCTTGTTCAATGTGTTCCGTGCCTATGGACTCCGAATCAACCAACAGAAGAGCGTGGCTCTCACTCGCATGGTCGGCAAGTCGTTGAATCAGTTTCTTCGACGATGGACTAACAGGCCTAAGACAGGCCCTGTACTGCATTTGCCTGACACAAATTTGACAGTGCCACTGGTGAACAAAACCTCGTACTTAGGAACGATCATCAGCTATAGGGCCTAGGAAGCGGACACAACCAAACGCAGAATTGTTGCTACTCAGACTTGCTTTCGTATACTTCGCAGGTGGCTCTTAGATAGGGCATCATGATCTCAAAATTCATCTAAGGCTATATAGACAATGCGTTCTGCCGACTGTTCTCTATGGAGTGTTTGAAATGGAGTTGAACTCACAAGGCAGCCAAGCCATCATTGGTATGATAAGCTCTCACCACAAGTCGATGGCCCATGCCCCAGTACATCTCACTCGCGTTCCCACACAAGAGTTCTTCACTTCGATCGGACTTGACCCACCGTGGATCACACTTCAACGGCACTATCACCGATTGACGAAAGCCTTGAGCCACCGACGGGAAGTTCTCCGGAGTTCCGCCATGTCCGACCAGCCGGACGATGTCTGTGTCTTGATCCCAGAATACCCTGATGCGCTCATACTCCCACAGAACATACCCTCGATCCAGTCCGCTCAGGTACCAGCCCTCAAATGCCCTGAATGCTCTCGCGCATTCACCTAGGCTGGCTCGTACAAACGACATCTACGCGAATACCATCAAATTCCTTGCCTTCCGGAAGTTCTTTACAACCCTCTTAGAGATAACCTAGAAGGTCATCCCACATGCAGACACTGCCTGAAAGCATTCACTGATTTCTATCGAGTGCGAGATCACATCAACAAACGTGTCTATTTACTTTTTGACCAGACTCAGGATGCCATCGCGCCCATCTGTGATCGACCAGACCTTCGTATGCACCTCAGGTACAAGAGCATTCCCGGCCTGCTACTCAATCAGGCCTTGATGTCTGAACTGGCACATCATTGTGCATTTTGCCACAGTGCCATAGCAGCTCGTTCCATTAGGCGACATTACAA